GAGTTGGTTTTATTGTTAGCTAAACGAGATGCTTTATTTGAAATAGTGCAAAAAATATATGATATGTCCTCGGACATCCACACGAACACTTCCACGATGGAGCGTTTTCTTGATGGAAGTTCTAATATTAATGCTTTACGTATTGAGTTTAAACAGGTCTTAGATAATTATAATTCACATTTATTAAAAATAAACCCTATTGCTAAACCTGATTATAACAGCCTCATTGCGTTTGAGTCTCTTTGCGGTAGAATAAATAGGCTTTATTTACAATATTCGCAATCTAATTCACAAAGTACTAGTACACCATCTAAAGCCAGATTCACACTTCCGCCTATCGAACTTATGCCATTTTCGGGTGACATTCGCTCATGGCCTTTATTTTATGCTAGCTTTAAATCAACCGTCCATGACAACCCATCGCTCACCGACGCTGAAAAGTTATACTATTTGCTAGGTAAACTAACGGGCAAAGCCCTATCTGTATGCTCAGGTATAACTCCTTGCGCTGAAAATTATAAGATTTTATTGCAAGCACTCGTTGACAAATACGAAGACCGGCGTATGCTAGCATCTACATATATTAATCAGATGTTCGAATTTAAGCCATTGCAATCGGCCACCGCAAATAATTTTGATTTATTTACTGATAACTTTATAAGTGCAGTGCGCGCTTTACAAAACTTAAAGTTAGATAATCTCGCGGACTTAATTGTTCTTCATATCGGGCTTAAGAAGCTGGACCCGGATACCATTCGCTCCTTCGAATACAGTCATAACTCGATAGTACCTACCTTTGATGATTTAGTAAATTTTATTAAGACCCGCTCCAAAGTTTTGCAGCGCACCGATTCTAGTATAAATTCTAATAGCGCGCCAAACAATCGACGAGGTAACGATAATAATCGTCGCTGTAATAATACTTCATCGCCGAAGTATCAGGCATACGTAAGCACGACGACTAGTTGCTCAAAGTGTCTGTGCGATAATATTGTGCATCAACACCTATTTAAGTGTGCAGACTTTAATAAAATGACGCCGCAGGAACGATTTAAATGCGTAAAGAGTAACAATGCATGTGTGAATTGTCTCAGTTTAAGTCATCGAGTGTCTAGTTGCTCTTCAAATTATAGTTGTCGAGTTTGTAAATTTAAACATCACACATTGTTGCACTTCCACCGCAGAAGCGATAATGCTTCCCCTGCGCTGGCGCATTCTCCACCGCCTCAGCCAGTTACACTGAAGTCTACAGCCCCCGCGCCCGCACACTCGCCACCCCTCACCGCAGGTGCGCGTTCAGACGTCGCGCTGTGTACTTCGTTCAAGAATGTTTCTCAACGTTCACCGCCTCCCGCGCGCGTAAGTCGTTCGCAGAGAACTGTTTTACTATCAACCGCTCAAGTCTTTGCATACGATGCTAAGGGAGAGAAACAAATTATTCGTATATTATTAGACTCCGCGGCTCAAAGCCATTTTATTACTAAAGAGTGCTGTCATCGTTTAGGCGTTCAACATCACGATACCGAATGTACTGTAGTAAAGGGATTCGGTGGAGTTGAAAAAATTGTAAAATCGAAATCGATTGATATTAAAATTTTCTCACGATTCGACTCGAATATTAACTTCAATATTTCAACGCTAGTTGTTGATCAAATCACCGACCTTTTGCCCACCGCTGTGGTAGACACATCTGTCTTATCACACTTCCATGGCATAAGACTCGCTGATGAATGTTATAGCATGCCTAATAAAATTGATGTGTTGATAGGCGCATCCTTTTTCCCGCACTTACTGTGTCCAGACGTAATTTTTTCGTCTAACGACTTGTCCGGGCCCTCAGCTTTGAATACGGTATTTGGTTACGTTATTATGGGCTCAGTGCCGACACTTCAGGTAAATCATTCTTTAACGTGCTGCTCAGTTCTAGAGTCTCCTACCGTTGACAAATTAGTGCAACGATTTTGGGAGCTTGAACAGCCACCCTCCGCACCGCCCATTCAGTGTCCTTCAGACATTGAATGTGAAGAGTTTTATAAATCTTCGACATCCCGCGATTCTTTTACTGGTAGATATATTGTCGCCCTGCCATTTAAAGATGACGTTTACTCTCTCGGAGATTCTTATGAAACCTCTCGACGACGATTCATGTGCTTGGAGAGGAAACTTCAAGCCTCGCCTACATTAAGGTTAGCATATGATGACGTCATAAAGGAATACTTAGCTAATAATTATATATCCCCCGCACCGCCGTATGACTCTCATGAACCCGCTCCAATATATGTCATACCGCATCATGGAGTCTTACGCGAAGATAAGAAGTCAACGCGTCTGCGCATCGTCCTGGATGCTAGCAGTAAGACTAGCACTGGGCGATCATTAAATGATATTCTGCATTCAGGACCAAATTTGCAAGGCGACTTGTTCAATGTAATTTTAACTTTCCGCTTACATCCAATCGCTATGACAGCCGACTGTCGCCAACAATTTCTGCAAATAGTTGTTCGCGATTCTGATCGTCGTTACCAATGCTTCCTATACCGCTTCCGTCCACAAGACCCACTTGTGTTGTACCACTTCAATCGCGTGTGCTTCGGTTTAACTTCGAGTCCATACCATGCATTGCGCACGGTAAGACAGCTCATTGATGACGACGGCGCAAAGTATCCACTTGCAAGTCGTATCGCATCTACTTCGCTATATATGGACGACATCGCGTTCTCTATGCCCAGTGAATCCGAGGCCAGTGAGACCTCTCGGCAGCTGATAAACTTATTCAAGGGTGCCCAATGGGACCTGATAAAATGGCATAGCAACCGTCGATCTGTTTTAGATGACCTCCCTACTTCCCATAAAATTACAGGAGAAGTAGAGTTCGATAAATCAATGCCACATAAAATACTAGGCTTGCATTGGTCTACTGATAGTGACACCTTTTATTTTAAGATATCTGTTCCCGCTGATGTGACGTGCACTAAGCGCGCCATCTTATCTACTGTCGCCCGCCTGTGGGACATAATGGGTTTCGTTGCTCCCACAGTCGCGTACGCTAAATTGTTAATAAAGCAGCTTTGGCAACTTAATTTAGATTGGGACGACATACCACCACCGCCAATTCTGCCGTCATAATAGAGAAGGACGTAACTAACAAAAACGTAAAATGGAGATAAAAAATAAATAGATGAATTTTTCTTTCAGACCCTGCTGCGTCTAAAATATTTTAAAATGTATCAATATGAAAATTGAAATTGATAGTTAGAGACATGAAGATTTTAAAGACGAACTTTTTTTTTGATAATTTGTTTATTTATTTAAATAAAACGGATTTTCCTTTTCATTTTAGCTTAAAAAATAATCCCGGTAACGCAAAAACTTCGAAGGAAAGACGCATATAACCATTTGCATCTTTCCAACCTAGTAAATAAAAAAAACTGCCATTCTTTTAACATTTTTACATATCTCGGAAAGTTAATTTGAAATTGAATGGACGCAAATGGTCATTTACTACTTTTCTTCTTAGTAAGTATGTAACAAAATTAGACACAAAAAAGTAACAACCCGCAATAAAGGGGTATCATACCAGACTTACTACGATAAAAGGTGGAAAAACTTAAGAGAGTGGTAACATTAGTAAGGTTATTTTTAATATTAAATGTAATATTAAAAATAACCTTACTATATATATACTATATATATAATGTATTTAATATTAAAAATAAAGGTTATTTTTAATATTAAATGCATTGTATTAGAGTCATCTAAACGTACTCAGTTACATTATGTAACACTCATAAAATCACTCTTAAAATATACCTTTTCCAAGACGTACTAAATAAGAATAATAGACAAAAAACAATTAAAATTTTGTTTATTAAGAAAATTAAAAAACTAAATATTTACGAATAGTTTCACATCAGGGTGTGACTAATAATCACAAAACCAAAAACTTAAACACAAATTAGTTTCAAAACATTTAAACAAAATAAATACCTCTAAAATTTAATAATTTACTTATTAATTATTTTCATATCATAGTTTTATTGTCATTGCAAGCAATAAATAAAATTAATAGTTTCCCTTCAGTGTTTTTCTAAATTATCATAAGTTTTGAGCAATTTCAATTACATGATTAAAATATACTAAAAGCTATATCAGTCTAAAATTTGCTTTCACAGCATCAAAACCATAATTATACCTATAAAACTTAACTGGCACTTTTTCGTACATTTTTAAATGTGCAACGAGTGAATTCAAATTATTCTTAAATTTCTTTTAAACAGGGTTTTTACTGTTCAATTAAATTACTATATTTAATATTTGAGCAACAATCACTTTTGTTAAAATCTAAAAATGATAAGAACACAAAGGAAATTTATCCTTAATAACTAAAAACAGAATAAAGGCCTTTTTATTTCTCTCTACCACACAGTTAGTCATTCTGTCAGCTTCTTTCTTGTAATAAATACAATGCAATAGAAGTATAACAGATATTTATCACTTAAAGCTAAACTCAGATTGAAGCTACCCTTGGCCTTTTTGAAATGCCCTTAAATATAAAAAATAAAAAGAATATTTGTACGTTCAGTCTTCATAATTCCTTGTAAGATCCACCGCATCATCATTCACTGACAAATTTTGCCAAAAGACTCTTCTGTTTTCCGGCATGAGTGGCCCTAATTCCCTAATTATTTTCATTTTTCGTTCAGATGTAATACCCCTGAAAGTAAAATTTTGTTTGGGAGCAGGTATTCCATTTTTAATACTCTTTACCCTTAAGAAATCCAGTGAATGTTCATCACCATCGAAATTTGTTTTATAAAAAAGCTCGTATTGATAACCTCTGCGAAAAGTAATTTGGCACGTATCATTTAATTATGCCCGTGGATTCGAGTTTTGTAACTTGTACCCAGAAGAGCAGTCATCAAATTTATAAAAATCCTCCACATTCATTTTTTTACTGTAATAGATTTATAGTTAGTGCTTAAAACAGCTTGATAAAAGTCTTAGAAATCATAAATTCTTTTTTTATTTTTCATAGCCATTTCTACTCTATGATGAAATTCATCGGCAGCCATAAATGTGTGATCAACTTGAAGATATTTGAATGTAACAGTTTCAAATGAAACTTCATCTGAATTAATGAGGTATAACATATATGAAAATAGAGCCCAATTTTTATTCTGAGCAGCGCAATTACGAGGGTGGATTGAAAAGTACTCGGCCTAACCAAGAAAATAAACACATACTGAATCAGTTATATTTTTATTTTTCTACATAATCACCATCAAGTTCAATACACTTTTGCCACCTCCCCTTCCAAGCATTTAGACCGTTGAAAAAAAATGATTCTTCCTTAGAGTCAAAATATGCGTCTACAGCTGCTTTGACCTCGTCGTTTGTCGAAAATCTTTGACCTCCCAAGTGCTTTTTTAGGTTAGGGAACAGAAAGAAGTCTGATGGTGCCAGATCAGATGAATACGGTGGATGCGGTAACAGTTCAAAGCCACAGTTGTGAATTTCAGCCATTGACTGTACTGACGTGTGAACACGGGTGTTATCTTGATGAAACAGGACTTTTCTTCTGAGCATTCCTCGACGTTTTTCTTTTATTTCCTCTCGTAAACGACGTAGTAAGGTGCAGTAGTAATCAGAGTTTATAGTCTGACCCCTTTCAAGATAATCAATCATAATCACACCTTTCGAGTCCCAGAATACTGAAGCCATCACCTTATTTGCCGACAAAATCGACTTAGCCTTTTTTAGGGGGTGGTGAACCAGGCCTTCTCCACTGTTTTGATTGTTGTTTTGTTTCCGGTGTACAGTAATGAACTCATGTTTTGTCCATAGTAACAAAACGATTCAAAAAATCATCTGCATCGGTTTCAAATAACTCCAAACAGTCACGTGAAATAATCAATCGCGTCCTTTTTTGTTCAACTGAAAGCAGTCGCGGAACCCACCTCGCAGACACCTTGTGGAAACCCAACTCGTTGACAATGATGTTTTGAGTTCGTTCATAAGAGATGCCTATAATCTCGGCTATCTCTCTAATTTTTAATCTGCAGTCTCCCATTATTAAATCAAGTACTTTTTTTAATATTTTCGTCAGTAGTTGACGTCGAAGGCCTTCCAGAGCGGGGTTCATCTTTCACACTCTCTCTACCACGCTTAAATTCTGCTATCCATTTTTTGACGGATGAATATGACGGAGCACAATCGCCTAATGTACTGACCATGTCATCATGGATGGCTTTTGATGATAGCCCCTTCTTATGGAGGTACTTAATGACGGCACGCTGCTCGATTTGCTCCATTCGCGGAAATTATGTCCGATTACTTTGTTAATAAATTTATAAAATCACAACTAATTATCGCACAAGTTTCAAACTTCACACAATGAACTAGTCTGAACTGAACTAAATAATGTGGGTAGATTTGATTTTTAGAATTGAATGGATCTGTGTTAGGCCGAGTACTTTTCAATCCACCCAGGTATCTAGCCAAAGCACTAAGTGCTTCATGTCACGATTTTGTAAAAAAAATGCTCTAAAGCAACTTACTATGTCATCTTTCTTTCGACCAGATATAGCTTCATGCCAAAGAACCGAAAATATTTGAAAATTTAAGATTGTTTTCTTTTCTCCGATTGGTACGAAACTTTTATTGAAAACAATTAAGCGTGGACAGAACATCACTGCTTTAAATTGCTCCATGCGCAGCAACATTATAACTTTCTGTAAATCAACGGCGAAATATGCAGTATCAGAATCACTTTTCGTATTATTTTGTACGTCAACATTACGCTGGTACTCGGCTCGAGCCAAAATGTACTTTTCGTGGTGAATCTCATAATTTTTACATTCCTCACAATTTCGGTGACGTAGATCAGTTCTAGAATTATGAATCAAGAATTTTTGACATAATTCACATTCCTCGTGACCTAATTTAGCAAAAGATATATTGCGATCTTTGACGATCTTACGGTAGTATTCGTATGAGATCAGTTTCTCCTGGTCAGTGCAGTGGGTCTCACAATAATCACTATACATTGCTCGCACTGCAATATCTGAAGACAAGTATCTTACATTGGGAGTATGCTCACGTCTATAATGCGATATCGTAGGATGAAATGATTCGACATGCTCTACTACATTTTCATTGTTAATTTTCTTGGGATTTGGATTCAAGCCCCTTTTATCCACATCTCCTTCTTTCATTTTTAAGGAATTTCTGACAACTTTATCATTTTTCCTATTAAAATCCAAAGTTTCTAGAAAAAATGTCTTACAGACATTAAATTTAGTACCGGCACTATCCAGTAAAAAGTATGAAATAGTATTTTGTCTGTTCAGTATTCTTTCACCTAGTTTGGTCGCGTCATAGAAGTATTTTGTCTTATAAAAATTCTTTGTTCTGACCACGTCATATTTGTAAAAAAAATATTAATTTCTTTGCGCCGGTCTTCTGAAATGTATGTGCTACATTTTTTTTTGCAGGATTCAGTACAGCCCTTTTTTTAATTGGTACTTTTCCGTTCTCTTTTTCAATATTTTAATTTGTTTTCTGGTTTTTAACGACATCTCATATCTCTTTCTCTTTCTTATAGTTCCTTTTTTTAGTATATAATAAATAATTTTCTTCCTGCTCTGGTGATTCTGGGATTATTACATTTTGACTATTATCAATAAATTCTTCCTGAGAATCGGTATCGGAATAGGAGCGGTTTCTTTTGTAATCGGTAGGCGGTATATAATCTTTGTCTTTGACAGAATCGTCAGAGTCAAAAATATATTGATCTGAAACTATTGGGGATAGTTTAGGAGATTCCTCCTCACAATAATAATTAAGCTCAGATGTCTTTAATTCTCTACTAATCCTTTTATGCGATAATAAATTTTCTTTATTTTCGATAGTCCCTTCAGCTGTTGGAAATTTATTTAAATCATCTTGAACAATGTTACTGGTCGGTAAAAGCAACTCTGAATCTCTGACATTTTCGTTCTGCATCTGACTCAACAGTATCAATTCATTATCTGATTTTTCTACTTCAGTTTCCGCTGAATTTAGCGGATTTGAATCTGGACCCTGTATTACATTAGTTGCCATATTTAATAGTTTTAAAGATCTGCCTTTCTTCATTTTAGAAGTCTGAAAATAAAATAAATGTAGAATAATTAAAAATTGGTAGATAGTTTTTTTGGTAAAGTGACAGACAGACAAAAATTCTTAAAACTATAGATTAAACCTATGTATCGATAATAATGACTATTTCAATAGGATTTTCTGAAAAATATTTAATGTACAGATTCGACTCAGTTTCAATTTATATGCATAGATAATTTTTATAATAAAAACGAATAAATGGAGACTTTACAAAATATGTTCAATACGTTTAACATTCTTACCTTCTTTCGCAACGAAACGTGACGTGACCACACTCTCGAACGACTTGGGCGCAACTGACGATACATTCCTGCACTTCCCACCTTTAACCGCCACGATGTACCCGAATTCTTAATAGAAAAGACCCAAGTGGCCACTTCTGTCTTTTCAACTAAGAAGTTAAATAAATAATATAATCTCAAGCCTATAAAAAAAGTCGGAATGTCATTTACGTCTTTTCAATTACAAAGTAATTTAATCATTGATGCTAAACGCGACGTCATTTGCGCCTAACTTATTATGTTAATCACTGTGAATACTAAAATGATTGGACGTAGGAAACCAAAAGCGTCTTTTTATTTTAAAACTATTAACTTATGTCTTTTCATTTAAGTAATCGATGCAAATATTGTTAAAGATGACGGAGCAACTGGTTAAATAAGTCTTTTCTTTTATGTTGAATTTGAATACGTCTTTTCTACTTAAAAAATACCATTTTTGATCAGCAGTTACGTCCAAAACTCTTACGGTATTTTCTAAAATATTGATATTTTAGGGAATTAAAAAAATTGAGTAGATGCGCCGTTTTATCCTGAGTCGAATGGTATATTCAACTCATTTTGTCAACAAATGTTAGATGTGCCCTTTTTTCTTATGACGGCAGAATTATTAAGATGTGGAGGCAATTCTGTGCTGAATTACCAGCTCTTAATGATTTACGTATCCCGCGACATGTTGGTGTATCCAAAAACTGTACTGCGTCACTCCTGGGGTTTTCCGACGCCAGCGAGCACGCATACGGTGCCGTAGTTTACATACATGTAAAGAGCGTCAATGGTAACACCGTCCAGTTGATTTGTGCGAAGACTAAAGTCGCACCGACAAAACCACTATCTATTGCACGCCTTGAGCTTTGTGGAGCGGTTTTACTCTCAAAATTGCTTCGCAGAGTACTCGACAATTATTCTCTTGACCTTACAATATCAGTCTATGCCTTTGTAGATTCAAAAGTAGCTCTGTACTGGATAAAGAGTTCGCCACACAAGTGGCAGACCTTTGTTGCAAACCGCGTTGTTCAGATTACCGACAATATTCGCGCTGATAACTTTTATCATGTCGCAGGTACTGAGAATCCCGCTGACATACTTTCACGTGGCGTTACGCCAAATAAATTAGTTTCAAACCCCCTGTGGCTCCATGGGCCTCAGTGGACTTCGTTAGATCCATCTCAATGGCCTCTTCGTACTTTAGACAATGAGGTTATTGCAGACATGCCTGAGAAGAAGATTTTGTCACATGCTGTGTGCACATCCGTCTCTAATTCTGCGATTTATGAGCTCGCACTCCGCATCTCTTCTTGGAGTAAACTTCTACGTATAATTGCGTACGTGTGTAAGTTTGCTAAATTATTGCCCCGCCGCAGCACTACTGTAGTGACTGCTGATGATCTCAGTTTCTCTGAGGTTATAATGCTCCGCGCCCTGCAAAAACAGCATTTTGCAGTGGAATATTTAAATATTGAAGGTAACAAACCTTGCTCGCCCGCTTTCAATCGTTTAAGGCCTTTTATTGAGAATGGTTTAATCCGCATTGGTGGTCGTCTTTCGAACTCCGCATTAGATTACACGCAAAAACATCCAATTATACTCCCGCGCAGTGATCATGTAGTGAACATGATCATTGACTATTATCATATTAAAAATTTACACGCTGGGCCTGAATTGTTATTGTCATTACTCCGTCAAAAATTTTGGATACTCTCCGCACGCCGCACTGTGAGAAGCAGAGTCCACAAGTGTAATATATGTTTCCGGCTTAGACCCCGTCCAACTTACCCTTTGATGGCTGATCTTCCCCATAGTCGTGTAAGACAAGCTATTAAGGCATTTACACACACGGGCTGCGATTATGCCGGTCCTATCGCATACACTCCTGTACGTCGTCGTGGTGTACGCAGCGAGAAGGCGTACTTATGTGTTTTCACATGCCTCACGACTCGAGCTGTGCATATAGAAATCGCTACAGATCTTAGTAGTTCTAGTTTCCTCGCTGCGCTTAAACGTTTCCTCTCTAGACGAGGGCCGATTCAGTTTTTATATTCGGATAATGGAACGAATTTTAAAGGTGCCGCTTCGTACCTTCGCGATCTCTATAAATTTCTAAACGTTGAATACCGCCCAAAGCTTGAGCAAGAGTGTGCTGAGAATCGTATAACATGGAAGTTCATCTGTCCCAACTCTCCTCATTTTGGAGGCGCCTGGGAGAGTATGGTCAAAGTCGTAAAAACGCATCTGTTCCGAGTTATCGGACATCAGTTACTTTCATACGAAGAGCTTAATACTGTTCTTGCGCAAATTGAGTGCTTGCTAAACTCGCGGCCCTTGACAGTATTAAGTTCTGATCCCGCAGAGCCTTCAGCTCTTACTCCGAGTCATTTTTTAAATACCGCACCTTTATTGTCATTACCCGCACCCGAAGTCAAATCTGACTCTACCAGTCTGTTACACAGGCATTCTTTACTGGATAAATTAGTTCAGTCGTTTTGGGATCGGTGGAGGACGGAATACCTTCACGGATTACAAGTTCGTCAGAAGTGGAACACCCCGTCTACGGCTATCGTACCAGGCATGGTTGTAATTGTGATAAATGATAATGAACCGCCCCTTGCTTGGCCATTAGCGATTGTCGAGTCTGTTCATCCTTCGAAGGATGGCGTAGTTCGAGTAGTGACCGTGAGAACTACTAAGAGAACATATCTCCGTCCTGTTGCTCGTATCTGCCCTCTCCCAAGACAATAAATCACGATTATTTGATTATAATTATTTATCTAAATTAGGAATTAAGTTTATATTTATATATTAAAAAGTATTAAACCGCAATATTATATTTATGTATACATTTTCTTGCTTACCAAGTAGGGTTAGTAGATGACACACGCGCATTGAGCGCATCCTCTCACTTTATATACCGCTTATTTATTTGTTTTCCTTTTCTTTTTATATTACGGTTGTCTTTTAAAGGTGACCCTTTAAGGGCGGGAGGAAATGGTAACGCCAGTTAACAATCTACTTTATCAACATTACATTACTCATCGCATTGAGTTCGTCCTAAGTTTCTACTACTTTATCAACATGACTAGTGCATATTTTTGTTTCCTTCCTTCCTTCCCTTTCCTACCGCACGCGCTGCCGCCGAGGTGAAGGAAAGGATCTCGGCGCGCGTCATTATACTAAGTGACATTACGCCATCCGCAACGCACGGCCAGCCATCGCGTCTTATATATATTAACCGCAAACCGCGCAGGACGAACATTAAGTTCTCTTGTTTATCTTTAATACTCACCGCATCAGACATTGTGTCTTTGTAACTCATAAAAGTGTGAGACGCCCCCGTAAGGGCAAAGGTCGAGAGTGTGGGACTTCACGAAACTGTTCCGAGAGTGCGTGTGCGCCGAACCACGTGGCGAGCTCGCTGTATAGCAGACACTCCAGGAGGAAGGCGAGGCAGCCCTCATCAGGTCAGTGCGTGCTATCCCACCTATTTATTTTCCCCTTTGCCGTATGCACCAAAATTACAGTCCACTAAATCTTTATCGAAGATACCTTAAGTTACTGGCGTCTCCACACAGAATAAATAATAGTACTACGTACAGAAGTTACACCCTTTTGATGTTGACTGCTTGCCTACGTTTAATAGCCTACATAATTATTATTAATTAGATAAATCGCGCACGAAAGCTAAATAAATCTTTATCGCTGCGCACGAGTGTCCATATTACTTTGCATCTTTTCCCCTTCCTAAGTCACGGCGGAGTTTTCGTGGTTACTAAGGGATGTCAATAAAGAGTAAAAAAATACATTAGGAAATGTTAATTAAGTGATTATATTTTCGCCCCTATGTAAGTTCTACGATGCCTAACGCATGTAAATTACAAGATCATTCGTCGGGAATCGTGACGCTTGGTTTGGAAGAAATAGGTAGATAGTGTAAACAACAAATAAACCTGAAATACGATTCCTAGCATAAATGTGATTTATTCTACTTAGTTAAAAATCTTGTAAGTATACAAAGTTTTAATTTCAGTATATTGTGTTTTTATAACTTAAAATATTTTAATTACAAAAGAAAAGTATAGGTACGTAAGTAAATATCTAATTTTTAAATACATTAAATCTTTAAAACTAAATTTCTAGTACAAAGTTTTAATTTTTTTTATTTCTTTTGTAATTTTTTATATGCTTTATCTTGAATTGCGATAATTGCTATCACACACACACACACACAAACACACACACACACACACACACACACACGCACACGCACACGCACGCACGCAAGCACGCACGCACGCACGCACGCACGCACACACACACACACACACACACATACACAAACACACACACACACACACACACACACACACACACACACACACACACACACACACACACACACATACGTACGTATACATAAATAAATAAACTTTCACTCACATACCATACAGTATTTATAAGTAGACTAGTTCCTATCGTTTGATTGTCCTAATTGTAGAATATAAGTAATACATCGATAACTTTAATGTAGGATATAGAATATCTTTACCCATACTGCCATGTAATATGGACATAGTAATGGAAGGGCGGACCCTCCAAACACAGGCATTATTTGCTTAAATGTTGTTTCCAATCTACTAGTTCTTAAGGCATGTACTTTTTAAAACGAAATAAAAATTTATCAATATTTTTTGTCAATCGTTTCACTAATGTGTTCATTATTTAATTCAGTAATATTTATAATATAGCACACCGCCTGGCAGGGTGGCCATGCAATCTTGAAAAGGTGGTCAATGAGAAGAGAGGTGTGTGATTCTTGTTACATATTATGACTTTAATTATACTGCTTTTTACTATAAATCTAACTCATATACCTATAGTGGTGGGGGGCTACACGTCACTACACACTAACTATATTTATGTAACACACATTAGTTTACCCAAAATCGGTCCTGGTCTTGCAGTCTTGGTCTTGTTCTTGCATTTTTGCAAGACCAAGACCAAGAACAAGACCGCCTAATTTTAGCAAGACCAAG